GGCGAGCGCTCTGTCGGCCTGCGGTTCCCGCGGGGGCTGCGGGAAAGCTGGAGAAGCGCCAGGCTGCTCGAAGCGTTACCTGCGCTCGATGTGTCCGCTCAAGGAAGAGCCTTGACCACGTTCCTGGATTTCTCACGTCCTGTATTTTCTCTTTCCATATTCATTACTAGCTACTTACCTTGCTCCTAAAATACTTACGTGCTTTGAAGTGATCAAACTCGGAACTTTCTGGAGACATCCTCAGGTTTGTGTATGAGGTCTTGTCTGGAGTTCTGCTTTGGAAGCACTTCCAAGTAGCGTTGTGTGAACAGACAGTTTCAGGTCTTTTTCCTGTTACCACTGCTGTTGCTGAAGCAAATCCATGTGCTTATTTGTGTTTCAGCTTCTCACATATTTTGCTTTCACAATCTGAGAACTGCAGAAAACTGTGTCGCAGTTGTTAGAAACAGGACGTGAGGGATAGAATCTTGTAAAGCTGAGCTCTGTCTTGGAGGATCTTTCATTTAAAAAGCGTTGTTGAAAACTGATGGGGATGGATTGCAGGGCTGGACCACAGCAAAAGCTGTTATTTGCTCTGTGTGTGGTTAGTGTCAGTGCAGTTTAGATGCATGCAGAGGAAAAGATAATTGCCTAATAACCCTCTAGCAAATTTATTCTGAATTGTAAGACCTCTTTAAAACAGAAGCTATTGTTCTGTGCAGCCCTGTAGGCTTATCCTGCATATCTTACAATTCACAAGCTGAAAAGTCCCAGTTTGCAATCAAATGAGTAGATGGTCTTTTTCCCATCTTGTTTTGTGCAAAGTTGAGATGTATGCCATCCTGGGCGATATTTGAATTCTGGTGAGCATGGTCTATGACCTACAAACATAGAAGAGGGTGTCTGAAAGAGGTCTTACTTATATACAGGAATAAAAGCAGGTCAGGATGTTACTGTGCTTAGAGTTAATTTTAAACTAACAAGTTACTAGATTTAAAAGGAGGGTACGTTATTCTAGGCAGGACTGTAGGCAGTAATCTATGCCGAAGACAGAATTCTATACTGGAAGGATTGGAGTTCTCTTTCAAGTAGTTCAGATCCAATACCTCCATTTCATAAGAATTCTTTTGGGGAAGAAAACCAAAAGAAGCCAACAGAAAAAACTCATTTGCATGACACAAGCTCACTTCAGTAGGAATGTAGAAAGAAAGGAGGATACAAGCCCTTTCTCACTTCCATTAACAAAAAGTTGTGGGGGTAGAAATGAAGCAAGTCAAACTAAAAAATAAGTGGAAGCGCTGTTTAGTTGCTTATGGACTCCTTACTCGTTAATCAGTGATGCACATGGGGATATTTTCTTGCTGTTACCTTGTAGTTTTTAAATGCTTTGGGATTTCTTCCTCCTGCAGTTTCAATTTGCTATTGCTGACATATTTTTTCCACTGGGGTAGAGTTTTTTTTCAGTCGGTGTTGATCTTTATCGCTTCTGAAATCTCTGCAGCTCTCTTAGGAACAGGTTCAGGTGGCACTTGGATTGTAACAGAATCTGCTGTGAGGGCCCATCTTGGAACAGTGACGGTCCCCAGCATATGCGGGGGAGTTCTTTATCTTGCAAAGACAGTCTGCTTGAGGGTAGGGTGGGAGATTGAGGAGGAAACGACCATGTAGCCTTTTGCCTTGTGCACATCTGCTGTTCATGGAAGCTTAACAAATGATTGTTTTTGTGTACGGGCTGTCCGTTTCTCTTCCCTGAGCGGGCAGGTTAGCTTTGCCCGTGATGCGATAATAGTGCCGTTGCTCAGACTCCTGCGGGACACTGAAATGGCAGCAAAACTTTAGCTGCTTTCTAATGCTATGAATTTGCTTCTCATACACTGAAGAAGGCAATAGAGCAACAGTATTATTCTCATTATTAATGTGGATATTCTGTTTATCTGTTGTGTTAAGAGTTAATAGTTTTCGTGGGACCTTGTTGCTTGTCTTTCAGAGGCAGTTAAGTAATGCTGTAGCAGACCAGGTTCCTTCTTTAAGAAGAAATAACATTTATCTAAGATATAGGGCTTCTGTTCTCCTGTATGTATTGGCTTCTGAAGCATTTGTGTGCATAGAGTCTGTGTGGGGAGGGGGGTGTTTGCTGTTGTTGGATGCCCCTGTTCCCCACTGGGATTTGAGGGAGTGCTATAAACATGACTTTTCCTTGTCATTACAAGCTTGGAACATGAGGTCAGCTGTGGCATGATGCTTCTCGGCAGAAGAGTGAGGGTGGATTGTGTGCAGTCTAAGGTATAGATGGGGGAAAGAGGCAGTGTTCCTGTAATGAGAACTCTGTATTAACAGTAATTCATATAAAATTATCCTCACTTCTTTCAAGTAGAAGAGATTTCTGGTGATCAGATTCTTCTGTTTGCCTGAAATTGTAAAGTTTGATTTATTCATTTTCCATTCAAATTCAATTTGACCTCATAAAATGAAGATGCTCTGAAGTCTCCTCTAAAATGTAGTGTTCAGGTAGTAAGATGCATGCACTGTGTTTATTTTAGTCATATGTGTCTATACTTTGTTACTTTGAATAGCAAACAACCATATGGCTTTTCATATGTTAGAATGCCTGATTTAATGAGTTCCGTTGATAGTGCTCAAGCCATGTCAAAGTGAGTGAAAATGTTAGGTGTTTGTTTCTTCCTTTTTGCACTGTTCTGCAATTTGCTTTCGCTGGCTGATATCTTCGGGAGGGAATTCTGTTGTTCCTTTCACGCTATCCTAACTTCTGTTCTTCCATATTCCTATTGCAGTGTCCATTTTCTATTTTTTTTGGGGGGGATGCCTCCCTTGAAAGAGACTGTGACTATACGAACGTGGTATGATGAATTACTGGCTGCCTGAAATGATGAGTGCCTGTGCACAGCTTGTTTATGCTTGAGCTGAAATGGGAGGAGGGAGCTCAGAGGCAGATGGTATCGCTAGTCTGTACCAGACTATCAGAGATGAATCTGAGCCACTAACTTGACTTTTATCCGCTTGTTGGAAGTGGAGATAACACTGTTACATGTTGGTAGTAGCTCCAGGTCTACTCAGGAGGAGAGTTAATGTAGCAGGAGTCCAGCTCCCAAGCCAAACACAGTGAGTGTGCAAGTCTGTAGCAGGGATAATTTAAGATATAACTGACTAAGCCTGTGAGGCTTTTTAATTCAGCTTGGTGATGTTTGTCTTTTGGCTTTGATTCTTCTCCTGAGGGAAACTAAAATATTACCATCTTAAAGGACTCTTCCATCTTGCCAAAGAAGTGCTGTATGAAAATAAGAACACATAACTCCCTGGCATGGGGGAGGTGGGGGTACGAAGCTTACAGGCCTGCGTCTTTACAGGTGATAGATGCACTTGACCTAAGCTATAGAAGATGCAAAGTTTGAAGCTCTTCAAAGTGAGAATTTCTGGGACCTCTCCTGTTTGAGGAGAGAATCTGATCAACCTTAGAATATAGAGTGTTGCATAGCCCTCTTGAAGGGAAGAAGGCCCATTCTCAGATTTTTATAAGTAATAGATAGCTGCTGTCTTAATTACTGTAGCCCTTGAGGTGATTTAGGGCACCTCTGCTGTTGCAAACATGGGAACAACTTTAGTATGAAAAGCTTTTTTTTTCCTTCTTTATTTAGAGCCGGATGTGGCTGGGTTGCTGAGATTAGTCAGACTTGGGTTTGGATTACTCTAGAATTGATTAACAAAGTTTGGATCAGAGTTGCTAGTTTGACGAGTTAGCGGACTGCAGAGACCGGTGGCTTACAGAGCTGGACTTGTCAAAGAAAATGACCGTCATATTACTATTCTTTTGTTTGGCTGGAACAAAGCTCTTCGGTAATAGGATTCAGGAGGACCGTGTAGTGACTCGGAAAGGAGTAACCTCCTCTAAAAGAAGAATGAAGCTGCTAATCACTGTGTGACTGGAGATATGCTCCTGCTTTGCCTAAAACCATTTGGCTTGTGCTGACATCTTCTGCCAAAAATAGTAATTGAATTTTGCTGTTTCGCCAACATTGCTTGAATGGTTAGTTTCAGTCTTAACAATAAATCATGAAGCAGTTTCTTTTGCATTTATCTCCTCTTTTTCCACCTAAATCTTCTCGGGTGAAGAGTGTAAGAAGGGAAATAGTCTTTCAATTATGCACCAAGGTATGCATAATGAAGTATTGGTGCTGGCGTTCAGCAGATGTGGACTGGCAAGAGTTACAGCGGCAGTGTTGGGAAAATCATTTCATCACCCCATCCAGTAAATATGTGTTTAAAGAGTTTCTTATATCCCTGAAGACTTTGATAAACAGTACCATTCTGCTTGCCTTATACTTGAATTAAGATTGGATGTACAAATGGTAGTTTGACAAAGATCCATTTGTGTTAGAAACAAGATGTGTCAGGGATTCAGTATTCTTGGGTTAGAATCTAGGTTAGCTTTGCACTAGCTCTTATCTAAGCTGTTCCTCTTCAAATCTCAGTGTTTTAAACTCTTTAAGACTTTCTAGTTCAGTAGAGCCAGTCAAATATCTAATCTATAAAATTCCAGTGAAGTCTAAACTTATTGTATAAAGAACATCAAGATCTGTCTGGTTTAGCCTCTTTCCTCAAATTTTCTGCTGTTGATAAAGTTGAAATGGGAGACAGACAAACCTTTAAATAACTGCTGGCATTTTAAGCAGCATGTTGTTTAGTTAAATCTCTGCATTGTTGAGATGAGAAATGAGTTCTTTCTGATCACATCTGCTGTCAGTACTGTCAAAGCTAAGTCTGTTAATTTGTTAGGAACATTCTCATGGAAAAAACAGTTAGGATGTAGCACAAAGATGTTGGACTACCAGGTAAGTCTTCTGTCCTACAAAGCAGAAATGGGAATGCCCTTTTTGCACTGAGGCACACCCTCCCCCCATTTTTTCCTGAAACAGAGTAGGTAAATGGCAGTCCTCTTCTTCTTGCTTTCTTTCCCTTGGGCACAAGCATGCACAAACACCTCTATTTAGTATCAGTAAAACATGCTTTTGTAGTACGGCAGTTTATTTGTGGAACTAGAATAAATGACCTCTTTTTATTTATACAGAGATAGACAGAGATCCAAGAGACTCTGTTATTCTTGTTTACCTCTCAAATTGCCGATTAGCTGTGATAGATCAGCTTCAAAGACCAGTAGTTTGACACAAATCAAAGCACAGTCAAATGGACTGGTTGTAACTGGCATTTGCAATGAGTCTTTGAAATTTTGCCAGTTGTCAGAGT